AATCCTAAACCCCTAATTAAACAACTTTAATCCTAAACCCCTAATTACACAACTTTAATCCTAAACCCCTAATTAAACAACTTTCTGGGGTCCACTGTGCTGGGCTTGTTGTCCGAAGCTCCCAGTCAAGTACTGGACTTCAGGGTTTTCGGGATGTGTACTACCTATAGTCTCCATTGTAGTTCCTTTTTGGGGGATACCTTCTAAAATCCTTAGAAAAAAATTGGTTAAACCAAAAAAAGGAACTACAATGGAGACTACAGGTTGGATTCAAGGGCCTTAGGATCGAGGCTTTGGCATTCTCAAAGCGTTTGGGAGCGATACTGGAGCTATATAAGGGTCTCCACCATCGGACTGGGCATAAATAACCAGAAGGGTGCCGGTGAAAATTCCCTCATGTAGCGAATAGATAGGGCTTAGGGAAGAACCCGAGCTTCAGTCTGCAACAAACCGCGTGGAAGGGGACGGAAGTCGCCAGCCTGGCGACCTAGAAACCCAAATTTGCGTTCGGCTTAGAGTTTAGGGTTTCGGGTTTAGGGTTTAGGGTTTAGGCTTAGAGTTTCGGGTTAAGGGTTGGGCCGCAACGTGCGGAATACTGAAAGGATCAAGGTCATAGCTAATGGGGCTATAGTTCGGGTAATTGTATCAATCCTTACTTAGAGCCGTGATTAAGGCACGAACAGCCATGGCGTACCTATGACTATCCAGTACCACGAACCTACCAGCAGACTTTTGTGTTGTTCTGGACGATGATCGAACCCGACTTTTCGAGCCTTGCTGAAACCTCAAACACTAATGTAAGGGCCTTAATAGTCAGAACAGGGTTTCGGGGTCTGTTATACTGTGATTATAGTAAAGAACTCCCAAAACCTTATTCTAATTATGAAGGCCCCTACATTACCTGACAAACACTACCTTAAACCCTTAACCCTAAACCCTAAACCCTGAATCCTAAACCCTAAACCCGAAACCCCCTGACTACAAGATGGATGTCTTCGACGAACTGCGCCTGTTCGAAATGATGAGGACGTGCTCGGAGGGGCGAAGACGCGACTTCTTGCCCATCTTACTGCCTGACCTACCCTAACCCCCCAGGTACCTACTATATATGGCCCTAGGGGCTCTAGTACCCTATATAGAAGGTACTTGGGGGTTTGTGCCTGAAAGACGTCAGATGTTCAATGCTCGTATCCCCATGGTAGAACCCAAAACGTGCAGGCACCAACATCTAAAGGGATGTATACACTCACCCAAATCCCTTCTCCGGAGTCACCAGGGTCAGTGAAGGTGGCTTGTTATACTGCTTGGTTGAACACAGGGCTCCCTGTCCAATCCTTTGTGTATTGCAGGAGCTCACGCCTGAGCCGGTCCATCTCCTTCCTGGTGAAGAATGTCCTCTTCCTTCAGGGAGAACCTGTTCTTATCTTTCCTGAAAGACCCGGTGCTCGGGCACATTTTTTGACAGAGTGGTCTGGTGCTTTCCCACGCCTATGTGGCACTTGAGCGAGTGAGCATGGTCGCCTCGTAGATTGGATCCAGGTTTGCGCAAACTGAATTACCAACGTCCATTCCAAGCTCCCTGGCCAGGGAATGTGAGACCTCGCCGCAGCACAAAAGTTCTGCTGCTTCGCTATGGCCCTAAACCCTAAACCCTAAACCCTAAGCCAGAGCAGAAGCGATGGCTCTCCAAGAAGGCAAGTGACAGCTCAGAACCGAAGAGTCAACACATGCCGGAGGCTTTCCGACATACTGGTGCCAGCGGCCACGGGCACTTCGAGAGCTCTTCAAAGCTGTTTTTTCCAGTAATTACGCGCCTTGGGTCCACACGTGCCATGCGGGATCTCAATGGATCTCCCGGTTAAGTGACCAGGGAAAGACCCTAAACCCAAAGCCCCCAAAACCCTAAACTCTAAACCAAAAGACCCTAAAACCCTACACCCCGGACACTAAACCCGAAACTCAACGCCACTAAGACCCTAGACCCCAAACACAAAACCCTAAACCCGAAGCCCCTAAAAGCCTGAAAACCTAAACCCGAAGCCCGTAAAAACCCTGAACCCTAAACCCAATGCCCCTAAACACCCTAAACCTGAAGCCCCAAAAAACGACTTCTTGGCGCCTCATGCAGTCGCAGGGCTTGCTCGAGCATCTGATAGATATCCTCCTCGCAAAGGGGCGCTTCTTAAAAGCTTCAAGGTTTCGGGTTTAGGGTGTCATCTGATACATATCCTCCTCTTAAGGGACCGGTTTTGCACAAGGATGTCGATTCAGGGTCTTAAGGGTTTTGGGGTATATCCTCCTCTTCGGGGCGCTTCTTGCAGAAGGGGCTTTGGGGTTTACGATTTAAGCTTCAGAGTCTAGGGTATTTCCTCCTCTTTGGGATTTTCTTAAAAGGCTTTTGATTCAGAGGTTTTAGGGCCTCAGGGGTTAAGGGTTCAGGGTTTCGGGCTTAGGGGTAGAGGAAAGTCTTGGATTTTTCTGGTTTATGCGGGTAGCCTGTGCAGCACCTGCCTGCGTTGTCATAAAAACCATCGGGGCTGAGACTTTTCAGGCTCGTAATACACCTAAACCCCCAACTACCCTCTACTATACCCCAAATACCTACTATTAGGGACCGTAAGGGCTCCATTAAAGGGCCATTGGGGGGTCCTGGCAGGGGCCTTAAGAATTAGAAGAGGGCTTGGGGTAATTATGCTGTAACTATAAGAAGGAACCCCCAAAAAAACCCTATTCTAATTCCCAAGGCCCCTACATTACTATACTGAACTTAGACCCCTAGCAAAAATTATAATTTTAGCTGCTTCTTAGGGATTATAGTAGCCAAAGATTAAAAATTATTTCTAAGTACCCCCAAGATTATGGAATTTCGAAGTTAGCGGGATTGGGCTCAGGCTGCGAAGCCTTTCAAGAAACAAAATCGAAGTCCGCCTCAAAGTCGAAGGCCTGAGGTTTCCATCCGTTTAGGGTTTAGGGTTTAGGGTTTAGGGTTTAGGGCTAAGGGCCAAGGGCCTAGGGCTTTGTCTAGGGCTGGGGGTACAAGGTTTCCGGTGCGCTGAAGCAAGTGGGCTCTCAAGATGGCGAAACCGAAAACCCTAGCACTCTGAGTGAAGACACCCCATCACCCTAAACCCTAAACCCGAAACCCTGAACCCTAAACCCTAAGAGCGAAAACACCCCATCACCAAGAGAATCACCAAGAGAAGCAGCCATGATCCCTCCGAGCATCAGGATGGACTTTCGGGAAAAAAGAACTGTCCAGTGGTTTTGTAGGCTGTGGCCACATGGGACCACGAACCGCGCAACCCACATCCAATGGTCGCTGCGCTAGTCATGTCGCCATGATGCGCATCATCGGAACTGCCACCGAAAACTCCAACAACAAGCCGCAACTGTCACTTAGATTGGATTAAGGATGGTTTTTCCGAGCGCAACCTGAATCCAGACGGTCTGCGAAAACCTGAAACTCTGTAAAGATTACCGTTGAATTGGCATGGGGCTCAAGGCTTCCAGTTTGGGGTTATCTTTTGGTTTAGGGTTTAGGGTTTAGGGTTTAGGGTTTAGGGTTCTTATCTCAGGAATCTCAGGAACCCTAAACTTCCAAATAACCCCTAAGTTTTTGGCATGCCGAAAGGCCTGACGCTCGTGTGTTTCCAGGCCGCTCAAGTCCGGTGGGATGGTCCTCCGGAGTGAGATCTTTAGGCTTTCAGGTTTGGGTTTAGGGTTTAGGGTTTAGGATTTAGGGTTTAGGGTTTAGGGTTTAGGCTTTCAGATTTAGGGTTTAGGGTTTAGGGTTTAGGGAATTTCAGAAAACTGGGGTACCTCATTTGGGTCCTTATAATAAGGATCCTATTATTTAGGGTACTATATTAGGGTCTCTTATTCTCGGAAACCCCCAGATGTTTAGGCTTTCAGGTTTGGGTTTAGACTTTTCCTTTTTCCGTCTCGCGAGAGTCCGAAAAGTGGAGTTCCCAAGACTTTAGGGGAGTTCCCAAGACTGTAGGGTTTAAGGGACTATATGGGCTATGTAGGGTTTGTAGGTGCAGAAGGTTTAGGCTTTCAGGCTTGGTGTTTCGCGTGCTAAGGCTTGGCTACTTGTTTCTGCTATCGGCGATCTCTTGCAACTCGCCTTTCATTTCGGCGGCTTATCTTGGGATACCGCTAAAGTTGCAGCATCTAGCTCGAACTGCACGGAAGAGACGGCGGCAGCATCCCGAAAACCCTAAAGCCTTCAAGGCCAAGCCCTGAACCCCCAAGCCCCGGGAAGGTCCGAAACCCCTACACAGACAACATGAAACCTATAACAAAAAAACCCAAACCCAACCTTCAAGGCTCCCCGGTGAACCCTCTGTCAGGGCGAAACCGCCGTTTCAGCCAGCTCCATTCCTCTCTGAGGGAGGGTATCCCCCAAACCTGGATTACGGCCATAAGTGCGTAAGAGTCCTATGTGTAAACTAATCCAGTTACCCTAATCATAGCCCGCTTGCTTACTATGGCCCTATAGGGTGCAGGCAGGGGCATCCAGAGCAGGAGTGTCCTGATCGGATTGCCACAGAGCTGGCTGCGACCTTGGTGAGTCCCATTTACATGGTTTTTTTCAGGGCCCCAGGGCTCCGTACTATGATTTCCTTATGGTATACTCGGATATTGGGGGTTCAAGTAAACCCTGTAGCCCTAATCCTTTTTCCGGGCCTGATGCTTGCTTTGCCCCTCACTACCGGAAGGGGTTGATTACGGTGCTCAGGAATCGCTTAAATAGAATAATCTTGTGACCTCCTGCCCAGGCGCCAGGCTGATGTCATGCCCTGCAGGTTACAGCGAACGAGTAAGCAAGGACGCCCGGAGCCCCGAATCTATGAGGCTTTCGGCTTAACAAACAACTTGTAAGTGAATGGCAAAGGAAGACCCTACACCCTAAAGAGCCTGAAGCAGTGAAGGTGCAGCGGCTTTCGGGGTTTATAGGTTTTAAGGTCCAGCCAAGGCCAAAGCTCGAAAAAGAAACAAACCTTCTATAGCAAGCCCTCCCGGTTGTAGCATTGGTGGCCCTAGGCCCCCTAGACCCTTCAACATAGCCGAAGTGACGCCAACTCCAAAGCTCTTCTACACGGTTCTCGGCCGGCGCCTGCACAATGTGCCACTTCAGGGCTACGACTTCTCAACACTCTCTGGATTATGCCGGGGAGTGTGGGAACTCGCCACAAACCCAGAACAGGCAAGGCAACGCTAACTCTAACTACCCAAGCCTGCCCCACTGTGGCAGGAGACCCTCTTTCCTGCATCCGAGAGTATCAGAGGCGTGAGCTACCAGTATCTATTTGTTGGGTCCTTTGGGCGTTGCGACTTCGGATTTGGGCAGCACAACTCCTGACCTCAATGAACAGTCATTAACTCACCACCGCAGCGTGCTCGTATCTTCGGCCTGTAAAATCTTCAAAGAGCCCAGGCCATAGTAACCCTAAATCCTAAGCCCTGAGCCCTAAACCCAAAACCTCATTTCGATTGGGTTAACATAACAACTGCACCCATAAGGACTCACAGCCGGGCAGCCCGAATATGGTGATTCGTAACTACAAGTAAGGGACTACGTTGAAATTGTTGTTAAATCGGTCTCGGGGAAGAATACATAAGGGGATGAAGCGCAAACTTTTATATACACACACAAAGCAGATGCGACATAATGAAGCAAATAAGCACATATGTTGTTTGTTGTTGCTTCCTTGCTTGCTTGCCGGCTTGCTTGGCTGACTGACCGACTGGCTGGCTGGCTGACTGACTGACTGGTTGGTTGTTTGTGTGTATATACATATGCACACACACAATAACGTCTATTACCACAACTATCGATTGAGACTGTCCGAAACGGTGTTCTACGAATCTAACCAAAACCCCATATGAATAGGAGCCTTGCCCATAGGCTCCATTGTAGTTCCTTTTCTTAGAATCCTCTACGGTCCTCCTGAAAAGGAACTGCAATGGAGCCTATGGGTACGCACACTCATCCTCTGAAGCCCCAACCTGAGCAGCCGCCACCGGTACGACGGTTTAGGGTTAAACTCCGGCTCATGGCAGCTCCTCATGGTCAGAAGTTCGACTGCAAGCTCCTGAATTGTGGCCGTCAGCGCTTATAAGTTAAACCTGAACCCTAAACCCTGAATCTTAGAAGTGTCCCGTACTCTGTTTGTCACCTCGCCCCACAAGCGACCCAAAGATGAACTCCACCTTTTTTGAGGAGCGGCTTGGGGCTTAGAGCTTAACCCCACCTGAAAAAAAACAATCTAAACCCTCACGTTGTGTGTCACTCCTAGAGAAATCGCCAGAAGGTAGCTGTCCTTGATGCCCCTGCATCAAAACCTATATAACTGGGGCTGAGGAGTTGGGCTTGAGCTCCAGCAAACGATCTAGAAATTGGGGTCCCGGATCTGCCGGGACGCTCCAAACCACAAGCATGGTCCAACACCCTAAACCCTCAATCCTACTCGAACCCTTAAGCTGAACCCTTGAAGCCTTAAAGGAACCTATGAAGAGAAACCCGTAACTGGAGTCCACAAAGCTTTGAAAGGAGAAAACCTTGAAGGAACCTTACGCAGTTCTCCGTCGGAGAGCCCCTGGAGCCTTCTGCGTTCGCACGATGGGCCGACCGAAATTCAAGGGCAAGGGCATGTTCAAGTTGAAAAAAACCTGGGATGACTCATCTTGGGCCTCCGAGGTTATTCAAGTTGCAGATACCAGGAATGGCTCAATGGCTCATCTGGGGCTTCAGAGGTTTGCTCGCAAAGTCAGAGTGGCTGGCCTTCCCTGGCTCGTTGGAAAAGTTGTGGGGCTTCAATCAGAGGTTCCTAACAATAGTAGTAACAATCACATGGTACTGAGAAGAATAACAACAATCAAATTTAGTTGCCCAGTAGCTATCTTCAACCAGGGGTTCGGGGAGAAAGCGAGGGTTGACCCTGTCGTTTCTAGCTATGTTGGGCTGGGCGTTTTTGCTGAGGTTGAACATCGGCAACGGCGCGCAGTGGTATTAAAAGGTGAGCGACGCGCACCCCGAATCCCGAAACAACCCCACCACATCAACGGCCTGACATGTGCGAAGAGCGAAAACCAGAATGCGTGTTGCACACATCCGAAACCGCAGGGTGTGTCATCCGAAATAACCCGAAGCATGACTTCAAGACTTGCGAAAACCCTTAACCCCAGACCAGAAAGCCTAACCTGGGTGTCGATGTCAACAGTCCCCAACATCATTTATATTTAGGGCTCTCTATATCTATATATATATATATATGTATATAATATAGAAAATCGATACCGAGCATATACTTAGGGCTCTATATCAAACAACAAGAGAAAATACAAATTGCCCCCAATCCATACCCACATTCCGAACGCCCCGAGCCCTTGTAGGATGAAGAGTCCTCAAGGGCTCTCAGGGTCAGGAGGCACTGAAGAAGGCAAAGATGTTCGTAATTCCTGTTGCAGTTCGGTTGGGGTTTAGGGTTTAGGCTTCGGTTAAGGTTATGAGCTAAGAATCTCAAAGCTTTCTTTGGGCCTGGAGCCCCGAAGCCCTGAATGCTCTCGAAGTTGTAGAATCCGAACCAAGACAGAATTTACCTAGTACATGGTTGGGATAGATTCTTGAATGTAAATGTCTGTTCCTTCTTGGGTTTTGACGCTCACACTCGGCAATCCCAGGGTTGAAGTGCCCATAAACATGTAAAGTGGTACTCAACTATGACAAAGTTCTTGCGGTTGAATACTAGCAGGTCCAGGGCCCCGTAACCCTTAACCCCCGGGGGGTAGATCTTCTTTCCGCAGCCAAAGCCTCGAAGCTTGAAGTTTAGGAGATGCGGTCTGAGGCCTAACAAAAGCCGTTTAGCCGTTTCTGGAACCATTACAGGGTTTACCTATAGTCTCCATTGTAGTTCCTTTTTGGGGATACCTTCTAAAATCCTTGGAAAAAAATTGGTTAAACCAAAAAAAGGAACTACAATGGAGACTACAGGTAGGTCTATAGAACCTTAGACCCAAGGCTTCGGGTTCAGGGTCTACGGGAAACCCCTCTGGCAAAATCGCATCAAGTCAGCCTCCCTGAAGCCCTAAACCCCTCCTGGGTAGGTCTCCGAAGGTTGATAGAACTCAACCCCAAATAAACCCTAAACCCTAAACCCTGAAGCCCTGAACCCCTCCTGGGTAGGTCTCCGAAGGTTGACAGAACTCTTTCTCATAGTCCACCCGGATGATGCCGACCTTGCCTCAAAGAGCAGAGGTTTAGGGTTTAGGGTTTAGGATTTAGGGTTTAGGGGGCAGAGGAGTAGGGTTTAGGGTTTAGGGTTTAGGATTTAGGGTTTAGGGGGCAGAGGAGTAGGGCTTCCTTTATGGTAGAAGCCCAAGAGTTGGCAACCCCATAGCCTCAATCCTGAAGAGCCATATATAGGGAATCCCAGCACTGTTTGGCCTTTATCCGGTTTCCAACTTTATGGGGCTTAGTGTAACTTTACATAACCCCAAAGAACCCACCTTTTTAAGGACTGACATGCGGAACTCACAAACAAGGAACCCTCAAACACGGTAGGTAGGTAGGTTTTATAGGGGTTCAGGTACGGGTTATGGTCCAGAGACTCGGAAAGCTTTTTGCTGAGACAACACAGACCTTTCATGGACTGGGGCTTAGGGTGACTTAGGGTGTCACGACTGAGATATATCTGAGATAGAAAAGGGTTTAGGGCTTGGGGAAAGAGGCTTTCCAACAACTTGGACTTGCAGCGGAGTCGGGTGTAGGGCTTAGGATTTGTGTTCTGGGTCAGGGTTTAGGTCTTAGGTTACACCGTGGAAGACTGGAAGACCTACGCAGTACAATGCCCCTTTCAATCACTGTACCTCCTAATGCATCTGTGCAAATTCAGCGAACCTCCTCTTACACCCCTCGTCAAAGCTGGTTTTTGCTTCAACCCCCCNNCCCCCCCCCCCCCCCCCGACCCAAATCAGTGTATCCGAAACCTCTGAAGCTTAAGCCCTGCACCTTGAACCCTCGCCTTACATGCTGGAGAGTCTCAAGGCTAAACCCGTGAATCCTCAAAAGGCAGAAAGCCCTGAACCCAAGACCCTAACCTCTCTACGAATCCATGTTCGAAGCCTTAAGTTCGACCCGAAAAGCCAGAACCACGCTTCCAACGTACATTCAGGGCTTCTAGGTTCAGGGTTAAGTTTAGAGCCCTTCTGTCTGGAGAACTGGCCTGCGATCTCTCCAGAATCCATGTCCTGCACAGAGCTGCGGTTCTGAAGAGCATTAGCATATAGCTGCGCTAGAATATTGGAACCGCCAGGGGTGTCGGGACTTTGGGAAGTAAGGTTCCTGCTGTCGTCAGGGTTTAGATGTCAAGTCTTTAGACTTTGGAGGTGTAAACCCTAAACCCTAAACCGGGAGGTGTAGAGCTTCGCCACGCCAGTCCTCCGAGCACAGCGCCCCAGAAACAAATTCTTCAGAGCGCTCCAGAACCACCAGCAAACCTAAACCCTACACCGTCTTAGGGTTTAGGGTTTAGGGTTTAGGGTTTAGGGTTTTGGGTTAGCTCCAAGGCAAAACTGACGAATCCACCAAAACACCACAGGAAAGAGCCTTTCCAGACTCCTGGGCTTAGGGTTTCCCTCAGAAAGGCTTCTGCCCCACAACCGCTTTTCGGCCCCAAATCCTGCAACCCTAAACCGCTAGACCGACTCCCCCCCCGCTGCAAAGCACTAAACCCTAAACCCTAAACCCTAAACCCTAAACCCCTAAAGCCTTAAACTCCTGGACCCTAAAGCCTCATAGGGCCCCAATCCCTAAACCCCTAAGCCCCAAACCCTAAACCCCCCAAAGGCTCCAGAAAGCGGCCAAGGAAGGAAGACACGACCTGCTCATAGGGCTGATCCACCATACCTTCAGTGGCTTTAGGGCCCTTGGCAAGGGTTTTTGGGTTTGGGGTTTAGAGAAGCCGTCCATGGCTCAAGAACTTTGGGTTTAGGATGGTTTAGGGCTTAAGGNNNNAACCCTAAACCCTACTCCTGAACCCTGAACCCTAAACTAGGGGTTTAGGGATGCCGTATCCGTGGCTTAAGGCTCTTGGCAGGGGTTTCGGTGTTTAGGGAATGCCTTCACTGGCCAACGATTTGGGCTTCAGGTTGCCGTGATCTGGGGTT